CAAACATTAGATTAATTGAAAAAGGAAATGAATATTAACAATTGTTTGAAAATAAGAAAAGATTCATAATTGACTAAAATAGAAAAAAAAATGGTCAGATCATTACATTTTAATTTTTCACAATAATATTACACAGTATAATACATCAAATCACAAGTATGTCATAAATTTTACACAATTTTAAACAATAGAATGGAAATATTTCAATAATAATATTCTACACTATCAAGTAAAGGTAAATTTAAAATAAAAAGAAAATACTTCAATAATAATATTCTACATCATCAATACTAAAGACATATTTTAAACAATAGTAAAGGTAAATTAAAAATGTAGCGAAAATTAAAAATGAAATGAAAATATTTCAATAATAATATTCTAAATCATTAATTAAAAATGAAACGAAAATTTGATAAAAATATCATTGCATTTGATATTTTAGTTCGCTAATTGATTAATTGACTAAAAATAAAAGAGAAGTAATTGGATGAAAATAAATATGATATTACTAATGGATTGAAAATTTAAAAGGAAATGAATATTAATAATTGATTGCAAATAAAAAATTATTCATAATTGACTAATATGAAAATAATAAATGGTTAGACCATTGCATTTTAATTAAAATGGAAGGGAAACTAAAATTGAACGCCAATATTTCAATAATAATATTCTACATCATAAATAGTAAATGCATATTTTAAACAATAGTAAAGGTAAATTACAAATGGAACATAAATATTTCAATAATAATAATATTATACATCCTCAATTAAAAATGGAACACAAATTAGGTAAAAATATCACTCCATGTAATATTCTAATGGACTAAAAATACAAAAGAATAATTGACTGAAAATGAATATGATATTACTAATTTATTTAAAATATAAAAGGATCGCTAATTGACTAATATTATACCATTATATATTTTCACCGAGTCACCCATCCTGATCAATTGAAGGTGTTAGCTCTAGACGATGATGGACAAGATTGTGTTGCTACTACCAATGTCGTCTACAAAGATGTTTCAACAATGTGTAAATAAAATCGTTGATATTATATTTTTTAAATGACAAAATTGCTATATGTATAGACAAAAAAAATATCCTCCATACAAATGAATTAAGATAACAATTCATTCATATAACTGAGTTGCTAGAAAATGAACACATTTGTATAATTTATAAAAAAAAAAAAATACTAAACAATGATACAAAAAAATCTCCAAAGTTATAACACTACATGCATACATCTACACATTAGCTATTAATTTGAGCAATTATTTGCTTAAATTCATACAATGATAATATAAAAACACATAAATGATCCAACCCGTATATTCAATTGAACTATATAATATTTGATGTTCTAATTTAAATAATTATATATCGATCCAAATATTCTTAATATATTACAACAAATCTATTCCGTGCATCGCACGGGCGCAAATACTAGTGTTACCTAAAAGAGAATTAGAAAAATTTAAATCAAAAATAGTATTTATTTAGACTATCACTTTTAGGCTTAGTACTTGATTAACGTTATTACAAAGTTGGAAACATTTATTTTTGTGACAGTTATATATAATTAATCTCTCATATTTTATCTTGCATTTATATACTTTAAATTACCGATTTAAATAAAAAAAATTCAACATTTATTTACCTATGCATGAAAATCTTCTATATAATATTGCATTGATATACTTTGAAATACTTATTTAAAAATAAGTTTGGGCATTATCCTATTCGCGCAAAGTGCGTAGAAAAACTAGTACTATATATAAAAACAAAATTCTAAACTTTAGCTTCCCGCCAATTCCTACAAAATCTCACTTTCTAATAAAATATATTGTTTTCTACTTTCCTATTCATTCATACTATAATTCTAGGTTAAAATTCATATTCTAATATTCTAAAATAGTGTAATACAATTCCTAATATAATATATTGTTTCATACTTTCCTATTCGTACTATAATTCTACATTAAAATTCATATTCGTAATACAATACGACAATCTATATATATATATATATATATATATATATATATATATATATATATATATATATATATATATATATATATATATATTCTATATATAATTAAAAGAAAAAATCCTCCTTCTAGCATTTTTCCGCCTAAACTCATTGTATTGGTCAATTATTTAATTATGGTAAACTATCGAATAATTAATGATGGTAATAGAAATCCTAGAAGAATATAAAATACAAGAATATTTAATTATGGTTATATTATTGTGCCTCGCGATCATTATATACTAATAGAAATTGACAGGAAAATAATAAGGGAAAAAGGGTCAAATAGGCCCCTAAACTTTTTAAAGGTTCAATTACACCCATCAACAATTAATTTAGGTGCAATGAAGACAAAAAACAAGTTAATGACCTGCTATCACAGGTCATTAGGGTTCAGGCCACCTTCCGGCGAATTTTCCGACAAAAAAAAAGGTGACCATCAACCGACCCAGATTTGCCGAAAATTTCCCCGATCACTTCTTTTGTCGAAAATTTCACCGGTTACTTTTTTTTTTTTTTTTTTTTTTTTTTTTTTTGCCGGAAAATTCGACGGAAGGTGGCCTGAACCTTAATGACATGTGATAGCAGGTCATTAATTTGTTTTTGGGCTTCATTGCACTTAAATGAATTGTTGATGAGTGTAATTGCACCTTTAAAAAGTTTAGGGGCCTAATTGACTTTTAAGCTAAAGTTCGAGTGCCTATTTGACCATTTTCCATAATAATAATAATATAGGTGGTAATAATAATATCTAAAAGTAATCAAGTGATAATAATAATAATAATAATAATAATAATAATAATAATAATAATAATAATAATAATAATAATAATAATAATAATAATAATAATAATAATAATAATAATAATATTAACGTAAGAATTATGTGATTTTACTTCTTAGGTGCATATATGGTTTTTGTTAACGTATATATTCTAGAGTGTTAACGTATATATTCTAGAATATATTCTACCTATATTAGCATATTTCCTACCTTAATTTAGCTTTGTATTTTTTGTTTACTATTATTGTCTTTTCTTTTCTTTATCTTACAATTTGTATATATAGGAGTTCTTTCTCTGTAATTGGATTCATTCAAGAAAGATATATACAGTTCATATTTCTCTAACATGGTATCAGAGCCTTAGTTTTTTTTTTTTCTTCTTCCGTTTCTGGCGGAGCTCTCGCTCATCAATCTAGAATCTGGCTGCCGCCAGTGGAGCGAACCCATCGTTCCCGGCCAGCAAAGCTAAACTCTACAACGCCATGCGCCCCGTGTACTACCCGCAACCTTCACGCCGCCGCCACAAGCGGAGCTGCTGCCAACGTTAACAGTTTTTATTCTTAAGGTGTGTGATTTGTATATATGCTTAAGATGTGTCAGTTGTTAAAACTTAAGGTGCGTCATTTTAAAACTTTAGGTGCGTGGTTTTTGTTCTTAAAGTGCTTTGTTTGTGTGCTTAAGGTGCGTGGTTTGTGTACTTAAGGTGTTTAAGGTGCACCATTTTAAAACTTTAGGTGTGTGATTTGTGTTCTTAAGGTGCTTTGTTTGTGTAGTTAATGTGTGTGATTTGTGTACTTAAGATGTGTCCTTTTGTGTTATCTGCACTTTTGCACGGAAAGTTATCTTCGCACCTAATCCAGTCCCGATATATGTGTGTGTGGACACTCACAACATACATAATAGATGGACACCCAGTAGGTTACAACATATTCAAAGGAGATTGCACACATAGCGGTCTTGATGGGGTCCTACATACTTGTTATAATGAAGCTAGGATCGAAGAACAACTAACTTTAAAAGACAGGATTTGCCCTCCATTTTAAGGCTCATATCACTAATTAACTAACCACAATTTAGGTACCAGAAGTCACTTTTTGAAATTAAGAGGACCGTTTGATTAAAATGTTTAAGACCACAATTGACAAAATCCTCAAATTAAAGAACCATTGCAAGTATTAACTCTACCTAACAATTAACAAACCATATGGTTAGCTGGCCAGCTGCTCTAAAATAAATTACTTGTATACATATTATATTGACTTTGATTTCTTCCAAAAATATTAAATGTAAAAGACTTCAAAATTCTTATCTAAAAACATAATATATGAAAATCCATGTTATGTTTATGATTTTGTTCATTTTTGTGTACTAATAAAAGTATATATTTAATTATGTACTGTAGATGTACATTTTATTTTATTTGACAAAATTATTTGGGTATATATACACATATATATGGGTGTTTGCTTAGTATTATAGATTTTTTTTTTTTTTTAATATAAAAAGTAGATATTGTGTGAGACTGTATAATGTAAGACGTGTAATACTTTTTAAAGTAAAAAATGTAAGTCACAAGGCAGATTTCACTCATAGTAAACATTCATATATGCTACAACGGGTGTCTTTTCTATAGTTGGGAAAGGACCACAAAGTGGTAAATTTGAATGACTAGAAAGCTAATAAACAGCTCATGGCCTAATACTTCTATAGGCAGTCTAACACTTCAAACCAATATGGTTGAGATTGCCCCTCAAAAATAATCATTCATCAATTACTCTAATGTACTTAATAATTCTTTAAATAGAGTAGGAAATCGCCCTCTTATCTTCTTTCTTTCTTTTTCTTTTTTTCTTTGCGCAAGAATTCAATCAAAATTAGAGTCTGCTCAAATTTGAGTTTTCAATAATTCTTTACATTTAGGGTTTGCTCTAGAAGATAATTAATTTTATGAATCATTCAAGTAAAATTTTATATGTACTCACTTTTTTTATTTGATACTTTAATTAATTTTAAAAACAAATCACAATTTTTGAGTTTACAAGATAAGTGGTCCAAAAATCATGATAACAAAAAAATAAAATAAAACATCTTGAAGTGAGGCTGATGATCGAGCTCTGGCCAGAAATATTAAAATTAAAAATAATTTAAATTATACAAAAATTAAGAAGAAGGATTGAAATACAAATATTGCTAGCTTAGCTTAGGGTTCCGTGCACCATTTGCAAAAAAGTTAGAAGTTCAATTCAACATATTCCTGCAACATTTAATTTGCATGCAAAAACATTTCGATCAATCAGTCATTCCACATACTGAAAATGTTAGGATTCGAACCCTGCACCGAGTCACCTGACCACCCGGTATAGGTCCCGGATGGCATATCGTAATCAACTTTCACTACTGCAAGCTCCTCTCCTCCTCCTCCTCCTCCATTGCCGCCTGAGTTGGAGTTTGTAGCCATTCCAAGATACCCTCCTCCGCTATAACTCCCGCTAGAGCTTCCGCCATTGTTGTCCATCACGGAGGAAGACGACCCGCCCATGTTCATCAACCCGTGGAGAAAGTATGGGTTGTTGTTGTGGTTGTGGTAATACTGAGAGGTCTGGGGTGAGGGGTTTAAGTAGGATGGGGACTGTTGTTGATGGAGTTGAAGGTGCGTTTGGATGTAGGAGTAGGGCGATTCTTGGGCGGCGGCGTAGTGAGAGAAATCTTGGTTTTGTAGGGTGAGCAGCGGCTGGGCGTCGAAGGGTTGCATGAGGGGATAGGATGCTGCGGCTGCGGCGGCGGCGGCGGCATGCATGGGTCCCGTGGCGGCGCCGTAGTGGAAACTGGAGTTGAGAGCCAGCATTTCTTGGTCGCGCTTCCGGGAGGATTCTAGGGCTTGCGCTTCCTTGAGGCGCTTGGCGGCGCCTCCGCCGATGGGGAGGGTGTTGCTTTCCAGAATGGCTTTCACGTCGTAGCGGCTCATGTCGAAGTTCGTCACGGCGTTTAGACCCCGGAACTTTATCGCCGCTATGTCGTATGCCTCCGCGGCTTCCTCTTCAGTGCCTGCATGCAAGGAATATATTAATCAAAATCACATTGGTACCGGTGACTCCAGCCAAAATGGCAAAAGATCTACACTTGTAATCATAAGTTGACGAGTTCGAATCTTTGTGGTCATTTTTCAGAAAGTAAACCAACTTATGTTACCCAACTCGTGATCTTATGGTCTTTTGCTGGCAGGGGTTTATCTACGCTCGAAAGGGTGTGTTGTGGGGGGTTTTGTGGTACTTTTCCAGTAGGAAGTAAACCAGCCTAGGTTACTTATGGTTGATTAGTGGGTTGTGGGGTTTTGTGGTACTTTTACTGGTGAGTTGTGGGGTTTTGTGGTACTTTTCCAGCGGGAAGTAAACCAACCTAGGTTACTTGACTGGTGGATTGTGGGGGTTTTGTGGTACTTTTTCAGCAGGAAGTAAACCAGCCTAGGTTACTTATAGTTGACTAGACTCGTGATTTTGTGATCTTTTGCCAAACTAGCAAGATTACAAGACGGGGTTTACCTATACCCAAAATAGTTGTGGGATTTTCCTTCGTCATCTTAAAAAACACAATCACCGCCGGAAAACTCAATCTGACACTTTCCTCCGTCAACTTTTCCGATCTGACTCCCAAAAATTAAATGGATATATGGAAAAAGAAATTGCTTACTGAAAGTTCCCAAGTAGAGGTCTTTGTTGCCAGCAACCCTCCCAATTCTGGCCTGCCATCGTCCATGCTGATGATGCCTGCTCGTAGATACTCTTCATGAATGAGAGAGAGAGAAGAGAGAGAGATAGGATCTTTGTCCTCTTTTCATCATTTGCAGTTTACCTTAAAAATAATAGCAAGAAAAACATGTTTTTTTGTTCTATGAAAAGAGGAAAGACTTTGAACCTTGTTACTCCGCGATACATAGATGCACCTCTGGAGAATCCACTACTCTTTCTGTAATTTAAAAATGAGATATAAAAAAAAATTATTTTACAGAAAAAAGAAAGAAGCTATGAAAATAATTTATTAAAAAAAAATTGTCAGTCCCAAAGACAAAATTAATTTCTTGTTTTATATCAGGTGTTTACATATAAAGAATAAAGAGTTCGCAATATCTATTCATTTCTACTAATGATTTTTTATTCTTCCAAAAATTAATTAAATTAAATTAATAATTAATAATAATAAAAACAACTTAATTTACCTTCTGATTGCAGCTACAAATTCTTGTCTAGTCATGTGTTTCATCTCCTCCACTTCTTTCTCATAGTTACTGATCTGCATTCAAGAAATTCCCAGCAACATTAAATTTTCTTCTTTTTATTTGCCCCGAAAATTAAATTAAAAGGTCCAAATTAATACGGCACATGCAATGAAAGAACAAAATGTTTACTGGGAAATTAGTAGTTGTAGAAGTTCCCCAGTATTTTAATGCAGCAAGATCATAAGCCCTAGCTGCTTTCTCCTCCTTATCGTATCCACCTATATATTCAAATTATAAAAATAAAAAAAAAAACAAATATTAACCCTTATAAAAAGATTATGATTATGAATAAATATACTTTATTTTTTTTAAAAAAATGGACAGAATGTAGAAGCTAAGGAAAAACTCACCCAAATACACTATTAGTGATTATCAGATCCAACCAAGTCAATACCAATAAAAGAAAAATGGTTAGGAATCAATAATAATAATAATAATAATTAAATCTTAGAATTGAAAAAGTGGAAATTAAACCTTGACGACCCTTTCGTGATTGCCCTTCCCTCCTGCAACTATTATCCCACAGATGAGCTTCATACCTTCCTGTCCATCTATGCCTACAAATACATACAACCCGATCGAGATGAGGTTAAAGAAATTAAATTCGTAAAAACATTTTGAACCAATAAGTTATTATTGACAGTATATTAATATGGCCAAATAAATACTATAAGCAGATTAGAAAATCTCACAATAAAGTTTACTAACCTTGTTACACCTCTATAAATGGATGTTCTTTGTCCAAAAGTATCCAAGGCCCTTCTAGGAGTAGCCGCTTCCACTATACTTGTGTTACTATTTTCAGCGCTACCACTAGCCGTGGCATTACCACTAGGGCTAGCATGAGTGGCCAACTCTTTTCCACTCGTCCCCATAGACAGCGTCAATGACTGCATATTACACGCGTTGCTCTCTTGAAGCTCGAAGCCGCCCGGCCCGGCGGCCACCGTCACGCCGGTTTGGACCGGCATCAGACCGCCGGCGTTACTCGAGAAGAGATAGTCCGGTTCATTTGCTTGGATGTCATTGTAGGAGACTAAATCCGGTTGGTTGCTATCCACCTTGCCAACCCCTAGGAAATCAGCAACCTTGGGCACCTCATTGCTCCCTTGGGTGCTAATCAAATTCCACTCTGCACATCCAAAACAAGAAATTTGTCATGATTTTCTAGCCCAAATTAAATGAACCCCATAAAGATTTGATTGTGTTGGGAAGGAGGCCAGTAATGACCAAGTCTAACACCCGACTGTTGAGAATTTGTTGGACAGAGACTAGTAAAGGGCTTAAAAGGGCAAGTCCAGCACTTGGCATCTCAAAAATGTGTGATGGTATAAGAAAATAAGGAAAGAAAGGTTCGCCTACGCTGCTAGCTATAGCTTTTGGCGTAGTGATTCTGATCAGTATAGATATCAGTACAAAATGCAAATAAGGGAAGGGAATAGAGATAATTATATATATATAATGAATTATATATGTTAATTACCTGGATTTTGGAAAGAAGTATCAAGACTATCATTGACTAACCCTACAGAGAAGTGATGAGACTGGGCAGCAGCCTGAGAAGGAGAGAGGGGGAAAGAAAGCCAGTTGTTGGAATTCATGGAGCCCATTAATCTCTTCTCTCTGGGATATATAGATTTCTTCTAAGATTTAATTCCTTCTATGAAATCAATACCTGCAAACTCCCAGAGTGAATATAATAGCAGAAAAAAAAAATGAATTTTTACTAGAAAACTGATGAAGTAAAGAAACAGTGGATAAGATTACCCTACAAAATCATAAATAGTCCTCAAGACTATACTCCTCTCACACACTCTCTCTCTCTCTCTGGAAGTGTGTTATACTTGAAGAAAAAAGGAATAGTATGAGGGAGAGAGAGGAGAAGAGGTGAAAAAGGGGAATGAAGAGAAAGAAAGATGTATTTATATTTCAAGATTTTCAAAAACCCTTTTAAGGAATGGTCAGATGAATTGAGCTGACCACTGACACACAACAAATTCCAACACGAAAACCTACCAATACATTAAAAAAAAAAAAAAACCTAAATAACTATAGAGATGTGACAACAAAAAATATGGTATACATTTATGTCAAAATTAATATAATGAAAGAAGGAATAATATATAGGTGAATATAGATCGACAAACCTAGAATACTAAGTAGATATATGTAGAAGAATAGTACCCTAACCCCACCCCTACCCCTACCCCCAACCCTAACCCTAACCCTGGGGTTTATTGGAACTCTCTTAGTTCTCGAAGTTGGTAAAAAATGACACCCCAAAGCCCAGCATTCCCACAACACGCACATCATCTCCCCTTGGACTCATATCCACAGTAACTAAAGTTTAACCGACCTATCTCTTCTTTCACTCGTGCAGCCAGTTGGACTACTTCACTTTTTTACTCATTCATATTTTCATTTCTTTATATATAAAACTCAACTGCAAGCTGATATACATATAGCTGAGGTTTTGTTGTTGGCATGCAACATATATAATTTTCTACATCTACAATGAGAGTGCATAAGTTTTAAGAAAAATATAATGCATGAAAAAAACCCCCCACACACACACACACACACACACACACACACACACACACATATATATATATATATATATATATTTATTTATTTATTTATAAAGAAATAAAAAACAAATTAAAGAATACTTACTAGTACATTTTCAAAGTTGGAAAATGAATTGGAAATTTTTTTTAAAAAATGTAAAATAGAACAATACTTGACCTAAGATAGGGCATACACAAAACTTAGTATTTAAGATACGAGTAATGCTACAAACTCTTCATGTATTTTTCTTACAAATTTTCCAACCTCATCATGTGATTAGTAGTTAAATCTACTCCGTATTTATTAGTTAGTGGTGTGTTAGTCAATTCATTGGCACATAATGAATGAAAGTCACATAATGAACAAAAAATTCGAAGGTAAAAATCATGAAAAGAGCATAGGCACCCTATAATACCATTTTTGTCTACTAATATATATATTTTTAGTTATACATGATATAGCAGCAAAACTAAAAGCAAGAATTAAAACGTTACACAAATATGGGCCAAATAACCCCTACTATATCTTCCTGAAAAAATACGGTAAATCATCAATATTTAAGTGTACTACATATATATATTTGGAACCCTAAAATCAATATGAAATAAGCAAACATGATAGATTGAATTGAAGATGAATGTGTAACCATGAAAAAACCAGTCTCAAATTACTGCAATGTCAGGCATTGTTAAATAAGACGTAGACGTACGGACATGCAATAGTTTAAGGAAAATATCCGACATATTAAATAATTAAAGTACTGACAAGGGAGTAAGATTTACTCTATTCATTAAAAACTCAAAAATTTAATAAATTAACAGAATGGAGAGAGAGAGAGAGAGGGTGAAACGTTTTAGGTATCGTTGTTTCCAAGTAGAAATCTGTTGACCGTCTGATTGGAAATCGCACTCGTCAAAAAGGTTCAAAACAGATTAAATTTTATTTATTTTGAATTTCATTAATTAGTTTTTTATTGTTTTCGGCCGTGTAAACTACAACTTCATGCTGTCTTCCACTGAAAAGTGAAAAACCCTCTCAGTCAAAAGAAACATTTTTTCAAAGACCATAATTAAGAATTAACCAACATTACAGTCAACTTAAACACATGGTTAATTACAATAATATTGTTTCATTAATTATTATTAATATAATCCACTCTACCTACCTATCTCTCCTGCACTCTGATCTTTATGTCAGATGGTCTGCAAAACCTTGCAATCCCAGAAGCAAAAGGCTACTGTATTTTTCAATACATATTTTTTTTCAAAACGATTTAATATTGAAAAACCATGAAACAAAGAATAATGAAATGGAAAAGATAGCATTTTCCATTTACTTCTTCATGCATGCATTAACGTAAGATCACTAAACGCCCAAATTTGTCAAATTGTGAGCTTGACAACCACAAAGTTCTAAGGAACTTATTGGTCAGTCAACTATGAACAATCTAAATCGATTTATCTCCTTGTGGTCATTTACTGGTTAGGATTACATGACGGGATTTACACGTACACACCCTTGGAGGGTTTTCTTCGTCACCCAAAAAAAAAAAAAAAAAAACTAAATAATGCAGTAGCTTTAGCAGATAATATAATATTAATAACTATAGCTGATAAAAATCCCAGCAAGAATAATAATAAAAAGGTTAGGTTGCAGAGGATGGGAATGAATGAAGTAACATAGAACTTACTAAATATGAAAACTGACTATTTAGCAGTGAAGAAGAATCTGTTTCTCTGCGGCCATCCAGAAGCTTTTGTGTTTCTGTATTATCTATCTAACTATCAGGCAGGCTTCTGCAACTTTTCTTCTTCTTTTTCTGAGTCTATGGCACTGTGAAATAGTGTTGGGAAAAGTGATGAAATATAAGAATATATATTAAAGGTGGTGGGACGAATTTGCTGGCTGTGATCTATTGGACGGTTATTAGGGTACGCGATATATACTATATAGTATGAAAAGAGCGAAAACACATTTAATTCTTCACACGCCGTTTCATGTTCTAGGGCGATCCCAATTTCCCCCTTCATTTTCTCAACACATTATATTTTATGTTATTAAAACTAACAAAATAAATAAAATCTTTTACTTAATTATAAATTAATTATACTAGATTACTAGTCTAGTAGTATTTAAGTAATCCGGCCTCACAATTTAATTTACTGCTGCATTCATTGTCATGCGAATTGCGATGATGCCATTCTTAATTCTCATAATTTTCCCCATATTAATTCAAAAGTATGGAGAATTAATTAATTAATACAGTAAAGTTTTCACTTTCGAAACTAGAAACATTTCAAAGTATTCTAATAAACATTTGATTTAAGGGAAAGTTCGCAGTTAACAGCCATACGACGTGACTATAGCTTGCAAAGAATCACATGGAGCTAGTCTAAATTTCTCATATTTGATCAAATCAAATTAAGAAGACTAATAGACAGTTTACACAGAAAGTCAAACTTAAATGTTACGTTTATCAAACCAACCGCAAAATTAACTTGATTGGAGTTACTCCTAGTAATAAGAAAAATATGCAAACACTACATTAGGGTGTACATCAAATAAACTAATTACATTCTATCCACTTGAGCACCACTTTTGGAAAGCTACTCTAATTAACCATTTATTAGATCATCTATACTAGGTATTTAGGATATATGAGCAGTGATTTTTTTTTTTTTATTAAAGGAGTTAATATCAATTTTGGTTTTTCGATTATAATGACATTTTTTGGGTCTTCAATTGCTATTAGTTTGAACAAGTTGATTCTAATAATTTTTTAATCAATCAAAATTAAATTAAAATGTCTAAAATATATCATTTTTTCACTAGCTTTTAGTCATGCCAATGTGACATATTGATCCATATGAAAAAAGTGGGTCATAATTTTTAAAATTTTCATCTCTAGTTGGAGCAAAGAATTAAGAATGTATATAGTGTCATTAGTCGATACTAGTATTTTCTCCAGTGCGATGCACATAATTGATTTATTGTAATATATTAAGAATATTTAGATTGATATATAATTATTTAAATTAGAACATCAAATATTATATAGTGCAATTGAAATATTGTTTGGATCGTTTATGTATTTTGATTTCATCATTGCTTGAATTTGAGCAAATAATTACTCAAATTAAAAGCTAATGTGTAGATGTACGCATGCAGTTTTGTAACTTGGAGCATTCATAGTTGAACAAAATCTTAGTTGCAACACAAAATTACTAATGCACCCTAGTGATTCTAGAACTTGATCTTATACTTTGTATTGGAGACAAGAACCTAGGCATGCGGATTAAAACGTAACAAGTCACTCCTAATCATGAAACATGTAGCAAAGTAAATATTATATGCAGTGGAAAAAAAAATGAACTGTCCCAATACATCTCCTTCAAAGTGAGAAGCTCGGGTTATTCATAGTTGAACAAAATCTCCGTTGCTGTGTAAGAGCTGGAAATCCAGACCCCAGCAGACCATATAATATCAAAAACGTTTTTAAATAGGTATTCGAAACAAATAAATTTATACATGTTGTTGCGTTATTACTTACCATCATTGACACTGGCTCTACAAAGTTGTAGTATAACGATCAGTAGATCTGCCAAATCAACATTATAGTAAGGCAATACATAATCCACGTGCTTATCGCACAGGTTATTGTCAACTGACTCTCCCTTAGTAAAAACAAATCCATTCCGTGCTAAAGGCTATAGGTAGAATTATACAAATAAATAAACCATCCTAAAAAAGTACATACCGAGAATCTTCAAAGACGAAATTAATCAACCTTTTAAGATTTTGATTGACTTTTGACTCAGTAATAGAAACTACATGGTCAATCAAATCTGTGAAAACCAATTAACCAAACCATTTTAAGTTTGCAATTATGTATGAATTATTAGATAATAAAAAAGGAATGCAAATAACACCTAATATATATAGAATGAAATTGTAATTAAAAATTAATAATTAGTTGGTTGTTATACACACCCGCGGGAGCCTATATATTCTAGTCACACTTAGAATTCATTCTCCATCTCTCTGTGTTATTGTGAATTCATCTTTTATCATTTCCCATCTTGACTATGACTCTTTGTATTCTTAGCAAACTTAACGATTCAAGGTTTCCAACCGCCTTCACCGAGGAAGCCAATGCATCTTCCTCTTGCACTATCTCAAATATTTCTTCCCCATACCCCCGATAAATACCCTACGGACATTCCATCACTTTACATACATTAAACTTACCTCTTCAAACTATTTATTCTAGAAACCCAACTTGTTCCCTTTATTTGTGGACAAAATCTCAGTGGATATGTTGATGACATG